GTGGTAGATGCCTTTGACCTAGTTCGTGCAACGTTTTTCTGGGTGCTGGCTGTCATCTTAGAAGACTCAATGTCAGATTGGTGTACAAACTTAGATACAGCAGATACAATAGAAGTTGGTGCTGAAGAGCTCTGAGTGGATGAAGAGCCTAAATTCAATGATGAAGACGACGTAGGTATGTCAGGCAAAGAATTATCGTAGCGGATACGTTTCTCGCCCACCGTGGCAGTGTTACGTTTAGGACACTCTCGAATCAAATGGCCTGGATCCCCACAGTTGTAACAAGTCTTAATACGTTGCTGGGATAGACGAGGACAGTTGCCTTTTGTGTGGCCAGGCTTATGACAGTAAAAACAATGAGGTGCCATTCCTCTCCACGAAGCATAGATAAGTCGTTGGTTCGTTAAATCAATTTCGTGACTGAGAGGGAGGACTGTGCGATCCTCAGGTGCGGTATCGATAAGGGCATAGCCTTTACCAAAGAAAAGACGACTAACAGGATCACGATATAAACCAACATGAAGGACTGTACCGTAGCGAGAGAGTGCCTCAGTCAGAAGTGGGGTTAAACTGTCTGGTCTCATCAAAGGTAGCTTTTCAAGCGAAACTCGGTAAATGGAGCTAGTAGGAGGTAACGTAGGTGTACCGATTACGTTGAAACCTCCAACTGTTATACCAACACTGCAGGCGGTTGTGCGAGATTCTGCGGAATCAAAAGCAATGATGACCCCATTAATGGCTCCCTGACGCACTGGTACTGCCCCAATAGCGGAAGGATATTGATTGGCGAGAGCTTCGTAGAACTCTGCAGGCAGAACGGAAAGTTGTTTCAGGTCGAAGACTACACTGTTCATTTCGTTAGATTGTACCCAGAGTTGGTCCTGATTACGATCTCGAACAGCCGCTTTTGCTTCTGTATTCTCAAATACTGTAAGGTTAGCTCCACGGAAACCTCTTGCGTGGGCTGTGAATGTTCTCCAAATTTCAGCTGATGTTGGCCTGGTGGATGCAGGCGGTTCATGTCTTGTCGAAGACGGTGATGGCGAGTTTTGATTGGTTGTCTGTCCGTGTAACATTATGTTAGTGGAAAGAAGCCTCCCCGGAAAGTAAATTCGCCTGTGATCGAAAATAAATGCGCCCAATGGTGAGAACAAAATTCATGTTGTATGAAATGTAAATTCGTCGTTACCAAGAATATTTTCGTAGTATCAGCCTTGACATCCATGGAGATACTGTGTTTCCAAATTGAGATGTCGTATTGAGACCGTTGTAATATTATCAGAGTAATAACAAATACAAAAACAATATGGCTCACTATCTCATTTGACAGTAATATTAACAGGTGGGCTGTCTTGGAGTTGAAACTAACTTAATATTAGAAATAGCCCTCTTTAGTCTCTTTATAAAAGTTTAAATTCTTTATTCGGTTTTTCCATAAAATCAGAAGAACATGTAGTCATATTTGGCAATGCATATTCTTGAATGATCATGAAGTAGATTGCTCCTATTTGACATGATTTCTTTGTCCTAGATACCCTATTTGAAAAAGAAAAACATATAAAAACCCATTTTAATTGTTCCTATTTTTTGCTTCTTTACAGCAGTTATCAAGTGTCCTTCTGAGTGTTCAAAGATTCACCAATCAAAACTAGCCTGTCCTCATGGTCCTTGCTCTGACTCGCTTGTCCCGCCCTCTCTGCTCTCTGGCGTGTATCTGGAACGTTCCCCAATAGTCTCTTCTGACGCCCTGGGTTCTCTCTGTCCTCCGTTCCTTTTTTTTTTTTTTGTTTAAACTTTCCTGGGTAGTTATCGCTACCCTTCCCAGAATGCACCTTGGTGGTAAGTAAAACTAATATTAGGATATGTGCTCTAATACTAACATACTTTTTCTCTCTTTTTCTACATATACTCATTATCTCTCTCTCTTTTGACATGATGTCGTTTTATTCAAACCTATTTTTCTTTGTCGTCTTTTTACGTAAATATTTTTTATAAAATTAACGTCAATAATTAATAAAAATACAGTATGTCGTTAACACCGAACTGACTCCACAAGATGTTGTCAACATGCCTCCTGAATTCATACCCAGTTACGGGGAACTTTGTTGCGATAGCTGCCACGATAGATGCTGCTGTATCATTTCTTAGGTTGCCATCTTTTCTTTGCGCTTTTTTTTTTGTACCTTTTCTTTAATCTCCTAAACAGTCTATACAAATAAAAGCTTTCTTTTTTAAATAATGACGACATGGACCCTTTCTTTACTTTTTATGACGAGAAAATATGAGCAGAACCAAATTGTATATCACAGTTTTTCTTTAACGTATTCACAGAAGATCTTTTTGAAAGCCCATTAAATATTGTTACCAAGGGTTTACTTAAAAGTGTCTATAGAATCAAGTTGGGTGCTTAGACAGCATATTTATCAGATCCGACCCGGTCTAGCTGGTGTAAAAGCAACAAAGAGGATATGGAATGCAGCAGGATTAATGCAGCTTACATGCATTTACAGCGTTCTACTCCATGAACTAATCAATTTGTCATTAATAAAGATACTAAAGCTTATTATTAGCTTAATGTTGTTCCCTCTTCAAAAGAAGGCTTACTTCAAATAATAAACCTTGCATATTGAATTTCTTAAACAACATTGCATTTGTTGCTACAATAAAGTATCAGATCTTTTTATTTAAGCAGGTCGTTTTGATAACAAAATCAAAGAATAATAAAAGCACAACTAGAAATACGACGTTCATTAAAGTATAATGCAGCACATGGGTTTCTTGTCCGGCCCAAAAGAGGATAAGAATCAGAAACAGAGTAATGGACTCTAGGATATTGCTGAATATTCATGGTTGGCAATAGTAAAGTAAGAAACAAAACAAAAAAGGGGGGGAAAAGAATAAGAAGGCTTCTTATGTTCTTTTCATTTGTTCTCAGTTGTGAATAGCTTATTATTGCTTCCATTCAACAAGGAATAATATGGCATAAAATGAACATTTGTAACTATTAAGACGCCATTATCACTTTTAAAGTTAAAAAGCACATATTTCAGCAACTCAGGTCTCTATTCATCTGTAATTTTCAAGGGAGTGCCAATGTTGATGCCTTGTTGATATGCCCTCATCATAATAACATCGCTCTATTGATTGCCATAAAAAACCTTGGAGTGAAAAGAAAAAGACAAACCCACAATCAACCAAGATACCTACAGGTCATTCATCAATAAGTAGCTTAAATGAATCATCTATTCTTTATTCAATGAAAGTAATAATGAATCATTCATAACTGGCAACAATAAACAAAAAAAGTATATAAAGGGAACCTTCATCATTTATTTTTCTCATATCGTCAAATACGCCATGAATTTCCGACTTATTCCTGAAGACTACTGCTTTGGTACTGACATTCCTCTTCCTCCTGGAACCGAAAAACCACCTTCTGGTTGCTGTGTCATTTCTTAGGACACGCCTTTCTTTACCAAATATTGTTCGAAATCAAACCTGCTTAATCTATTCGTTCTTTTCGTCTGTTTCGAATGATTCATCTAATAAAAGGAAATGATATTTTACTATCAAATTATCTCGCTCTTTTTCTTAACAAAGTACAAATACCAATCAAGATAAATTTTTTAATTAAACAATTGCGCTTAAGAAAATAATAATATAACAAATAAACATATATGCACTTATGCCGAACCTGGGCAGAGGAATGAAAAAATACAATTTCTTACTTTTTTGATGACTTTGCTTTTGGGTCAACCAACACATGTGCTGACTGTGGAGCAAACTTCTTGATAGCTGCAATGAGTTCTGGGAATCTCAGTGGTTTTGTAACATATTCATCCTATTCAAGATGAATGAGTACAATGGTTTATGAAAGTATCATCTAAACTTACCATGCCTGCTTCAAGGCATTTTTCTCTATCGCCAATCATGGCATGAGCTGTTAACGCGATAATAGGGATATGTCTATTTGTATTAGAAGCCTTTTCGATCTCTCGAATCTTTTGTGTTGCTTCAAATCCACCCATCACAGGCATTTGAACGTCCATAAGAATTAAGTCGAAATATTGATTCTCATATGCTTCTACTGCTAATTTACCGTTGGCAACTACCGTAACATGATGTCCAAACTTTTCTAATATTCGCACCGCAAGTTTCTGGTTCACATCATTATCCTCAGCCAACAAAACTTCCAGGGGTACAGTCTTTGAGGCATCGCTTGGAAGTGCAACATGACTTTCTAACGCTGGAAGCATCACATCGGACATATCGGCAAGGTTTTGAGGAGAATTGATGTAGCCGGTGATGCCGAGATCAATGCATAGTTTCATATTCAAGTTGTGCACCTCAGGAGCTATTAATACAACGGGGGTATATCGTAGCGGTACAATTTCACGAATCTTCTCAGCCAAAGACATTTGATCAATGATCACTGTATCAAAGAAGGGAGCATGCTTGCTCTTGTTCGCGTTAGCATTTGCGATTGTCGTAGCTTCTTCAATACTTTGAACGCGGTAAGGCTTAAGACCCAACATTGTAATCTTGTCCATGACACCACTGTGGTCGTTCATACTATCCACAAACAAGATACGTCGATTTTTAAAGCGACGAACCTTATCCACCACTTCTCTCTCGTCTACATTAAAGCGAAGTAGGTTTACAGTAAAGAAGAATTCAGAACCACGTCCATACTTGGATTCAACCCACAAGTCACCACCCATCAGTTGTACAAGATGTTTAGAGATAGACAGACCTAATCCAGTTCCACCATATTCACGACTACCAAGATTAGGTTAAGAAACACACACTTTAACATTATTCACATGAACTTACGTGGTACTACCATCGGCTTGACAAAAGGTATCAAAAATAACATGAAGTTTATCTTCTTGTATACCTATACCAGTATCACTGACACACAATTCCAGTCGAACTAGTTCATTTGTCATATGAACTGCTCTTGTGCGCAAGACAACCTCTCCACGAGTTGTAAACTTGACAGCATTGCCAATCAAGTTTGTAATGACTTGTCGAAGCCTCAAAGGATCACCAATAACTTGATCTGGTATAGCCTTATCCACATGGTAAATGAGATCAAGCTTTTTCTGATTGGCCTTCACAGCCAATGTCTTCAACACACTGAATATGGCAGATCGAAGCGAGAATGGAATAGATTCAATAGTCATTCTACCAGCTTCAATCTTTGAAATATCCAAAATATCATCAATAATAGTCAGCAGGCTATTAGCCAGACTAGAGACAATCATCAAGTTCTCTCTTTGCTGTCGGGTTAACTCTGTCTCTAGCGTCAGGGACGTCATACCAATGATACCATTCATGGGTGTTCGAATTTCATGACTCATGTTGGCCAAAAATTCACTCTTTGATCGATTAGCCAACTCAGCTGCCTCCCTGGCTAGCCTGTTCTTTTGAATAGCATCACGTAGAGATCCAACCATTTGATTAATCTTTGTCTTTAGGGAATCCATTTCACCAGAGGCTTCAACCGTGATTAACTGAGAAAAGTCGTTTTCTGTGGCAGCTGCAGTTGCAATCTGAGCAAACGCACGGACTTGCGTCGTCAAATTCGAAGCCATTGTATTGACATTACTAGTGATTTCACGCCATACACCTTCAACGTCCATGACTTGAGCCTGAACACCCAGCTTTCCTTCTATACCCACTTCGCGCGCAACACGCGTTACTTCTGAAGCAAACGAGCTTAGTTGATCCACCATGGTATTGATTGTGTTTTTGAGTTCAGCAATTTCACCGTGTACTTCAACTTCAATCTTTTTCGATAGGTCGCCTTGAGCTACTGCTTTACAGACGGCAGCAATAGCACGAAGTTGATCGGTAAGATTACTTGCCATTAAATTGACGTTATCGGTCAAGTCCTTCCAAGTACCATCTACCCCAACAATTGTAGCTTGACCGCCTAGCATACCTTCAGTTCCTACTTCACGCGCTACTCTGGTGACTTCTGCAGCAAATACACGCAATTGGTCAACCATGTCGTTTACAGTTTCTCTGCAAAGAATATTAGTATGATTCGTATTAGTTATAAAACACACTTACTTTAGTTCACGAATTTCGCCTCGAGTCACTACTTCAATCTTTTTGGATAGATCGCCCTTGGCTACCGCCTTTGTTACCTCTGCAATTGAACGCACTTGAGTCGTTAAATTGGCAGCCATGATGTTCACATTGTCTGTCAAATCCTTCCAGGTGCCAGCAACTCCCCTTACATTGGCTTGGCCACCTAGCTTGCCTTCTGTACCGACTTCACGAGCTACACGGGTGACTTCAGAAGAAAATTCTCTTAGTTGATCCACCATAGAATTAACAGTAATCTTGAGTTCAAGAATTTCTCCACGAGTTTCTACATGAATCTTTTTCGAAAGGTCACCATTCGCAACGGCTTTTGTTACTTCAGCAATAGATCTCACTTGTGAGGTTAGATTAGCAGCCATGTTGTTCACATTATCAGTCAAGTCTAGCCAGGTTCCGGCCACACCTTGGACAACGGCCTGTCCACCGAGTTTACCTTCTGTACCTACTTCCTTTGATACACGCGTGACTTCAGAGGCAAAGATACGTAGTTGGTCAACCATGTTGTTGACAATATTTTTTAGATCAAGGATTTCGCCACCACTTTCTACTTCGATCTTTTTGGACAAATCACCAAGAGCAACAGCCTTGGTTACTTCAGCAATTGAACGAACTTGTGTTGTCAAGTTAGCAGCCATAGTGTTTACATTGTCAGTCAAATCCATCCAAGTTCCGGCAACACCCTGGACGACAGCTTGTCCACCGAGCTTGCCTTCGGTTCCTACTTCTTTAGCCACTCTTGTTACTTCGGAAGCAAAAATACGAAGCTGGTCAACCATAGAGTTTACGATATTCTTCAAATCAAGGATTTCACCACCACTCTCTACTTCGATCTTCTTGGACAAGTCGCCGAGAGCTACAGCCTTGGTTACTTC